CGTGGCGGGGCGTGGCGGGGCGTGGCGGGGCGTGGCGGGGCGTGGCGTGGTGGGGCGTGGCGGGGCGTGGCCCGCGCCACCCGCAGCTCACACGCGCGGGCGCAGCGCGCAGAAACCCCCTCGGGCCCAGAGCAGGGGCAAAGGAACGAGGGACCAAGACAACACATCGTTATCACATTCCCACCACGTCGGCCGGTTAAATCTAGGTGCTTTCCCCCCGACACACACAAACACACAGAGCGCAAAAGCGAGCAGTAAATTTTGTGCCCGTTTTCGCCCCTCCTCGCCGCCCATCATCCCTCACGACAGATAACGCAGCCAGGCTCCCTCTCGCCGTGGTAACGTCGCCCAGGGCGCGGGGTAGTAGCTATATACGCCCGCCGCACCACAGACACACAGACGCCCCCACCCCACCCCTTACCACCTCCCAACTTCCGGTTTGCGGGGGCCGGCGGAGCAGGCAGGCGGACGCGGACAAAGACGGACGCCGCGGTTATCAGTCCACGGGGCTGCTCATCACACCGGTAGTATCACGGGGCGGGTCCGGTCCGCGCCGGCGTGGTGGTGGGTGAGCGGGTGGGCTAGGGGCGCTATTTAAAGAGGGCCGCACGGACGCGGGGAAGTCCCTTCCGGCCTGGGCGCTGAGCTGCCCACCACCATCCAACCACTACTACGACTAGAAGACGGCCGCGCCCCCGCAGCACCGCCCTCGCCGTGCTGCAAAGTACATCGGCCGGCTTGAAACTGCAAAGCAAATAAAGAGGGCGAGCGGCTGTGGCGCTGCACTGTGGTGTGTGTTGTGGTGGCCCCATTTGTCTATAGCCCTGGCACCACCCTCCTCCCCAGGAGAAAGACGTTCCGTGGCCATCGGCACTTCCTCAGCCGCCCGGACTTGGCGGCGGCAGCGGCGGCGGCGGAGAGCGCGCCACCCCCGGTGGTCCTGTACACGGTCCCGAACCACCGGCCGCGGCTGGGTGGGATGGACTTACTTCCGGAGGAAGCCTCTCCACCAGTCTACCCACCCAGCGCCACCCTTGCGCCGGTCGGTACCCTCCTTCTACCCGACCACGGCAAACATAGGGAAAGGTTATCCCGCGGGTTGGAACACCGCGGCCACTCATGATCCACACAGACAGAGGCGGCGACGGCGGCGTTGGCGGACGGACGTAATGAACATTGCGTCACACCCTCGGAGCCCCGCCCAGCCCCGCCCCACCCCGTGACCTACAGCAGCGGCTGCTTCCCCTCCCCCGGGGCGAGGTCAGTGCACCTGACCTGCACCGCAGTGTGGGGCCCGCGGGCAGCCGGCAGCCTTGCCCACCGCTCCGTGACGCATGTAGTAGTACAGCCCTGGAGCCCCCCGCCGCCGCCCCCCTAGACACCCGCACCCCTTCGCGGAAAGGCCACCACCGCCACGCCACGGGGGAGGGACGACGGCAAGCGGGGGAAGCAGGACGGAGGTCTTCGATTCGTTAATGCGAGACAGACAAAATTTACGTCCCGCCGGTCACGCGCGCTCCGACACCGACTTCCCCATCCGGCGGTGCGGGGGGGCACCCTACCCCACCACCACTCTGCCCGCACCTAAGTGTATAGTAGTACGTGGAGGCCAAGAACAAAAAGACAACACGAAACCAGCTTCGTGGGGAGCTTTGGCCGCGTGATCTGCCCCGTCTGAGAGCAGCCATTAGGAGGGGCACGTCGGCCGCGGGTCGGCCGGGGTCGGAACCGAACAGCGAACCGAACAGAGAGGTCAACCCCGCCAGGCCGGGCAGGGAAAAAGGGGTGTGGAGGCGACTCCTCCTCGTACCGCGGGAGGGGAGGGGAGGGGCGGGCCGGGCCGCAACCTGCTCCGCTGCTGCTCCGTCGAATTCTCTCCACTTTTCCTATTGCGAATGCATGAGATCGATTTTCCCGCTCCCACTCTTTTGACTGACAAGCGCGACAACGGCGCAAGGCGGGCGAACGGCGGTAGAGGAGAAGGAGGAAGGTGGAGCTGCTCAAGGGGTTATTGGGGTTGAGGTTGAGGAGGAAGAAGGGTGACTGAAAGCAAACGGGGGGGGGGGGGTCGCTTTTCAAAAGCAAACTGGTCTCCATTTCGCCTATCCTCCACCCCTTACTCACCACCTAAACCGTGCTTCGAGCGCGCGCGCGAGGGAGGGCGAGGGCACGACAAAAACGATCAAACAGTCAAGAAGGTAAACGAAATGTAGTAGCCCGCTCACAAAAGCGGGGCGCGTGCATATTGCATGGGGAGCCGCGGCGGCAGCAGCCCAGCACCCTCGTCGCCATTCACAAAAAGCGGCGGGATAATTGGGCGACACGAAATCCGCGACGGCTGCTGTGGAATAAGGGAAGCAAAGTCGCCCACGACTTACCTCTCGAGTTCGGGTGGTTCATGAGAATGGCGAGCGGACACTCGTCATCGTCGAGGATGTATTCCCTGTTGTTGGTCCCGCCGTGGTATTCCTTACTATCCCCTGATGACTCTGGAATGTTGGTGTTGACCTGAAAGTACATTAATGGTAATTACTTTAGAGCTCTCACCTGCTCTGCTGCCCTTCGTGCTCAGTGTCTGAAAGAACCATACCTGCACAAGGCAATAGACGTGCGGGTCTTCCCTGTCTAGGCCATATTTGGCTAACATTTCTCTAACAACTTGGGCGGCCGAATCTCCAATTGAAAGAAGCAGAGTTTTGTAGGGTACGTCTTTGCACAGGGCCTCTCCATAAATTTTCAGAGTTCCTCCAGTATCTGGTCCACCATCTTTACTCCGAAACTGCTGCAATTTCTTCTCCAGTTTTTGTTGTCTTCTTCTCCTCATGACGGCTTCAGGATTAGATATTGATCTTGTGAAACTGGTTTCAGGTAATTCTAGGAACACACAAAAAAATACGTATATTGACTATTAGAAAAGCATAGTCAGTAGATTAAGGTAAGATGAGCCAAATATCCTTACCTGTGTAGAGCTTGCCGGCCACGCCAGCTGGATTTTCCTCATTTTCATTATTCTTTATCCTATTTTGTTTTTCCTGTTTTTTGAGCATCTTCTTTTCTCTTTTTGATAATTTTCTTTTAAAACTAGTACCTTCCTCTTGAAATGTGTTGGCTGGCATCTATAAGACACCAGAGATAATAAATAGAACGAATCCAATGTAATGTAACTAGACACGTTAAATCAAATCCCTTAATCACAAAAAATCAAAGAAAGTTGCCAAAGCAACATACCAACCTTTTGAAAAGTGACACTAACATTGGTCTTGTCATTAATTCTTCTGAGGAGAAACCTCCCCTCTCTGTCATCTTTGTGCCAATTCAGCTGAACCAATAGTGGCTTTTCTTCAGTGCCGAGCCGCCGTTCGTCTGGAATAAGTAGGAGAGAGAAGGGCGTCAGTGCTTGCACATACAAATGACAGGTCAAAAATTCAATGGCATAGTTTAAATAAGAAAGAAAATAAAAATACCTCCGTTTTCGTGGATCTCGTAAAGGGCATATTCTGGGATAGAGAGCATTCTCATGTCGGGCCGGAACTTTTCGATGAGGGTTTCTATGACGGCCTGGGAGGTCGCGTCCGAGGCAACCCGGATGCATTTTGTGGCGACCTTCTGACCGGAGTCTTGAAAATAAAATCGCATAACTCCATGGAACTCGAGCTCCTGCAACAGAAAATTCACACACAAGGGTAAGAAACAGTTCGTTGTAGTAGGAGGCAGAAATCTCACGACTCTCTCAAAATTTAGTCAATAGTGATAAGAAATGTTGAAACTATTTCTTCCTCAGTCTGAAAATCGACAAACTTAAATCATTCGTTCATTCAAATTTTACAAGGTATCTCCAAAATTTACCAAATAATTTTTTCGAAAAATCTTTTTGATGTAATGCCACAGTAAAACAAATTGTTCCATCCGAGCATGGAGGAAGAACGACCTTATCGGCCTGGCGTGCCACACGAACAAACGACATCGGCTGTCACGCCTTCAAAAGACAAACATCGGTCCGCTGTCAGGGCAGGGCAGCTAAAGCAGCAGCATCCTTCGCGCCCTGGGGATGCAGACGACGCGAGCGCGCGCGACGCGTGGCGCCATCTAGCGGCCGACGGGCGAACCAACCG